GCAGTTAGGGAACAGCAAACAGGGAACTAAAACACTGCAACACATGTGAAGGGAAAACACATTTTTAGAACCTGAAAGTATTCCACCTATAACTCCACCCAGGCATGCAGATGTTTGTAGGCTTTACAGGGATGAAGATGCAGCAGAAGCCTGTAAATGTCACTGCAATAGTATCACTTTTCTTTTTAATTTACAGAGGTAATAACAATGTCTTGTAACTTGAAACATTCACAGTTTGTCTTTGACAGTGTTGGACTGATCATTTGTAGATTTTTCTAAACCGTTCTTTTGATCAGTTATCAGCATTCAAAGAGAAAAATACTTCCTGAGGTTGTAGTTACATTAATCACATCAGGATCTCCTTCATTTAAGATTGATTTCCTTTCCCTGTGCTCATTTCTTGCAACTTTGAGTTTCAGCGAGGTGTGTGTGTGTGTGTGTGTGTGTGTGTGTGTTAGAGTAAATTTGTTTAAAAAAAGTATATATTTTTTTGCATATGGTGTTGATGTAACTGGGTCTTTCTGGGTTTTCAAAGTGTGTATATATTCCATAGCGTTGATAACTGCATGTTTGATATAAGCATGTTCTTCATGCTGTCTTCTTACCTTTCTGAACCAGGAAACATGACACATTCGGCTGCTTTCAGATGCAGATGGCGTTTGGAGAGCACGATTTAACGCCTTTTCCTTTCTTATCCTACAAGCATGATTTCTGTTAATGATACGCTGCATGGCATGCTGCTCTAACGCTTTCAGGCTGTTGCGTGTCTGACACTGCTGTGTGTCTCTGGTTGCCATTATATATGTAAATATGCCTTAGGAAGCATTTTATATGTATATTTATGTTCTTGTTCTCTGTTCATGTTGTGTTGTGCACCTTGTATGTATTGTTTGGGTGGCTGTTGATTTCCTCTACCCTCACCGCCCTTCCGGACCCTCCCCACTTGCGCACAAGTCGTCCCTCATTTTATTTATTTTCGCAATCAGTTTTCTCTTCCTGCCTCCTGCTTTTAGTCCTCCTCTGCTTTCCTTTTTCCTCTCATCTCCTCTCCTCTCGTTTCCTCTCCTCTCCTCCTATGTTGATGAGATACGGTGATTTCTCTTAGGGGAGGCGTCAGTCCATCCTAGTGCAGCCCCGTCTTGCGCCTGTCCCACCCCGAGTAACCAGGTAATAAACAAGCCGGCAAACTCTCACTCTCCATCCATAACTGCTGCCTCTTTTCCACTTCTACTGTTCTCTATGTGCGTCCCTGTCCTTATACAGCATCCTGTGAACTCACTGCAGGCCCACACACTGACAGGCCCACTTTGCCCACTCATAAAAAGGAGGACTGTCACAGAAGGTCTGGACAGAGACGACTGATGTTTCGTAGGGGCACGCCTGTGTGTTAGGGTGACAACAAAATAATGTCAAATTTTAGTTAGTCGTCTTCATCTAAATCTTATCTGCACTCTCCTGCCCATAAATCATGTACTGCAATATCAGTAACTGCACACAGTACCAGGCCGACCTGTGAACATTATGCCCCATGATAATATGTCCTCGAGAGGCAGAATTTTAAATGTGGCTCAATAAAAAATTGATAGGAACACACCATCCTGAGCAGAGGGCATCCTTTAAAAAACAAGAGGATATCTTTTTATTGATAAGACAAACTGAGGGCTTTCACGACCACCACTGTGTGAATTAGCTGTTTGTCGTCAGGCAGAGTGGCTCGCTAATGTTCAGCTAACTTAACATCTTAGTCCAGTTACACTTGAAGGTGACGTTCTAGGCAGTAACACACAGCTGGAGCCCTTAAAGTCGGGAATGACTGTGACTCTATTCAGCAGGTTTTCAAAAATTTAATTAAAACACCCAAAATGGGGTTTTTTTTGGCAGAAAACCAGTTCCAGCTAAAAGCTCCGATTTTATTGTCTCTGTTCAAAAGCTTCAAATTACTGTTGGTGAAACAGAAAATCAATTTGATTTTAAAACAAGTCCAGTTGTGAAGGATTCAGTTTGAACATGAAATTGTATTCATAAATTTAATAACTATTCATTTTGAATTGGCTACCGCTCCAATTTGTACATCCGATTGGCTCTTTTTGCAAGGCTGCACTGCGTCCACTTACCAATGTAAGAAAGATTTCATTAAGTGATGGCCTTATATGATTAATACTTTAACCTAAAAGATAACACATGCTTATGAAATCTCCAGTGACAACGTGAAGTCTGCAGCCTCACGTTCTCTGCTGCAGGGATAAAGGCTGTTTTTTTTAGGCCAACTGAAAAAAAACAGCAAAAATTAAAGTTTTTAATACTCACATTTTGTTCTGCAAGATAATATCAACATATTTATACTGCTTTTGTGATTGTAAGTATATGCAATCACAGCGGTATAGGCATTTGTTAGCAAATGTTTTCTTTGGGGCAAATAAAGGCTTCAGGGGTATTTACTTATATATTTATGGTACAGGGTAAAAGTCGTGAGCCACCTTGCATTTCTTTAAATTTTGTTATGAAAATAGGAAAAGGATGCTGTGTCACATGATAAAGGACCCACGCATGCAGTGATGTATTGATACATGCAAAGATACATGGAAATTCAATAAGTAAGGCAAAAATAACTGTGCAGTTATGATGACCACCTTTATTTTTTAGCACAGCCTAAAGCTCTAGCACAGCTTTGAGGTGATCTTCTCGTCATTTCTTTAAGCAGTCTGCAGGAATAGTTCGGCAAGCTTCTTGAAGGACATTCACAGGCCTTCTTTGGATGTCGGCTGCCTTTTCTTCTGTTCTCTGTTAAGATGACCCCAAACTGCTTCGATAATTTTGAGGTTCAGGCTCTGGGGAGGCCAGTCCATGACTGATAGTTTTCCACTAACGAGGGGTGGCTCAAGACTTTTGTAGCAATATTAATATCAAGAACACATAAACAGAGGCACAGTCGAATGAGAACAAGCAGGTTTTCACAATGTTTTCTAATGAGAAACCTATGCTCACTATATTCCTTCATTAGCTTTTTTCATGAAAAACGACTTTATTTTGCTGCATTTTCCTGCTATTAACAACTTTACTTACACTTGAGGCACCTATAGTAGAATTGTAAAGGTCTATTTATTAGCTACAACACTGCTAACATTTCATTAGTTAGCAAACAAAGGCAGACATCCAAAAGCGAGCAGAACGGGATGTTTTCATTGCTTTCATTTCATTACTTTTAGAACTTTCTTCTGAGACATGGTTTACATTTTAATCCAAGCCATAATCTTGCCTTGGAATATAATGTAAATCAACCTCACCAACTAGTTTTGCTGCTCAAACCAAACCAACCTGCAAGCTGAGAATAACAAAAGAAAGGAAGTATTTCTGTCAGAAGGCTTTCTGGCAGGAAGCCCTGAAGGCAAACCTCTCCTGCTGCCGATTTATGCTGAAAGATGTATTTTATTTGTATGTGTTTTTACATGCACAGCTGCAGCTTTAAATTCTCTTTACTCTGACAGATGACAAAAATGTGTCATTTTTCACAGCGCCATGATTGGAACTGTGTGAAGTGAGCTTCTCTTCCACAACACACACACATAAAAATGACATTTTCTTTGTTTTGTCGGGCTGAATGAGGAGGTAGCCCGCTGTGCTTTTTATTGTCACCCTTCCAACACACTAACGTGCCTCCTTTTATCCACTGCTAACTTGGAAATATTCTGTGATAGACCTCCTGGATGTTTACTTGAATTAGACGAGACAGAACTGAGACTGCTTTTTTCTCTTTATGTTGACAAATAAGCATTCGACATCCCCTGACAAAAAATATAAAGAAATACTGCCGTAGCTTTTTTAATGTCATTTCAAATTCTCTGTGTGTGACTGTTGTTGCTCTCTGCGGATGAAAATGTCATCGCTTGTTCACACATAAGATCCAGTCACAACCAGCAATCCACAGACATATATGCCAACATTATTATGCACAAATTAATTTCAAGTCATATACGGAGAACTTTCTACTTTGCGTTGAATCAGCTGCTGAAATGCAGAGAAATTCAGCAAATCAATGGGAATTATTGATTCTGCTGCTTTTAATATGTTGGCATTTGCAAAATTCCATTTCTCATTACATGTAACAGCAATTTTTCTTTGGCTTTAATTAAACTAAAGTCAGTTTTAAGGAAGTATTTCCATAATTAGATGCTACTTACAAACAGCATACGTTTCATATCTTTTTAACGTTCTTTTGACGTTTTTAATCGATAGAAGTTGACTAACAGATATCTAAAAGTATCTTTAAAACAACTTTGAATGCAATGAAATTGTAGAAGTAGCTGCAATAATTCCAGAATTCCAGACTTTGGATTTGTGAGCAAGAAACTGAATATTTGCAACTGTTTGCAGCTTACAAAAGCAGACTGAAAACACGGCTTCTCGAGGCTTTACCATTCTTGCTTGTAAATCAGTCTGAAAGTAAATGAAATATTAGTGTTATTCTCTTTTATTGCTTTTTTTTTCTTCAAACGTGCCATATTTTAGCACCACTTTAAATGCACATTTTCCATTCAGATTCCCATCCCTCCTGCCACGCCCTATGACAAACATGATTTATGTGAAATCTCCGTATCTGACCCAGTCCTTCCCTGAAGAACACTGATTATCGTGCACATGTTTTGTGTTGTGTTCTGTGTCTTTCAGTGAATCCGTGTGTTTTTCCTGATATGTATGTGTTTCTGTACGTGTTTGGCACCTGGGCGTATTGTTTGTCCGAATGGTGGCGTAGGTCAGCTGTTATTGTGCGTCTTTTTTATGTGCGACATGCATACCGTGTTCTTGCTTTTTGCTGTTTTCTTTTTTGTACTTTCTATCAAAGCAGAAGCTCAATACCCATCAAGCTAGGCTTTTCAAGACTTGCAGGTCTCTTTTTATGTTTTTTTTTACCCATATATAGAGTGATAAAACCAGCACGTACAGCAGGTATTTAGTCTGAAATGTGAAGGTGAGAAAGATTTCACAGTTTGCTGTAGACATTCACGTTCCAAATTGGAGTGATTGGAGATTGGAGGAGATGGGTAAGAATTTGTGTGTGTGTGATAATTTATTTTCTGCATCATTTACAGTACACTTAATATTTCCACTAAGTGTTTTGTGTTTCTGTCTCCAATACTGCGATTTTCATTAGCATACAAAAACACACGCTCACACCGAGCTGTAATTGAATGCACCACGTAATCAAACACTACAGCCCACAAAGAGTGAAGCAAGTTTGGTAAGTTAAAAAGGATGTCAGTAAACATTTTTGCCATGTCTTTGTTCAGCTGCCTGATTTCCCAGTTTAATAGGCATGTGTACTGGACTACACATGGATATTAAACAACACTGTTGGTTGTGTTGGAGACTAATAAAACCAGTGCTATAGTGGAGTCATGTTACTGGCATCCTGTAACTGTCTGTAACCATAGTAGATTTTAGCTGTTCATAGCACCAGTTAGCAACTGAAAGTGTTTGCATTCATTTTGGTTCTGATTGAGAAGAGAAAAGGCCCGCCAATTCACATCTAATTCTGGGGTAATTTTTTGTTTTTATTATTATTATTTCTTCTTTTTTACTCTTTTTAACTGAAATGGAGACACCTCACAGCGGACACACCCATCAGACACAGTTTAAGCAAAGATTATTTGCTTTTGATGCTTTTGATTCATTTTCTCTACTGGATGCAGACCAAACTATCTCTCCTCCTTCCTGTCTTCCCCTCTACAGCACTTCATCTCATTCACATTACAGCGTCTCATACTTCTTGTGTGTGAGCATTAAAGTGGTTTTTTACTGTCACATGTATAATATGTGAACATTTTCCTGTTTGATTTAAAGTTAAATTACTGCACAGATCTTCGAGCTCTTTTAGATGCTTGCTGCACTCGTCCTACACTGTCACTGAATCTTTGCAATTATGTCTAGACACCACACAGCAAACGTGTCAGGCACCATAAATCAAGTGCAATTATTTCAAGAGGTTTCTACCCAGGTCTGATGTTAAAACTGTGAATTCCAGCTTTCAAAATGCTTCTGTATTCAAATCATCTTGAAGTCGTGCATTGTTACATTAAGCAGCCGTATGAATAGAGTCATCATAGTTGTCTATTGGCATAATAACCCAATTGTTTTCTCTTCCCACTGCTCTTAGACATCAGTGAACGAGACTGGAAGTGAAGGCTTGCAAACAGACCTTGATATAAACTAATAAAACTCTAGTATTGCACTGCTGTTATTTCGCTCTAATGTAAGTAAAAAACAAAAGTAAAACCAAACTTTGCTTGAATGTCTAATCAAAAGCTCCAACCCAGGAGGAACACCCGTGCAGCAGCCCGCTGCGGTGATCAGTGGCTTTGGGTTGGATGTTTTGGTTGGTGGATTTGACAGAGGTTTGGATTTCATGTCAGACTGTTTAAGACTTGCTTTTTAAAGTTGCTGCTGACCTCTATGTGTCTTGACAGTTTTGCATGTTTTGCGTAACATGTTATGCTACAGCGAGTGCTGTTAAGCTTACTTTCAACCCATAAGACTAGCGCTCTTTTTCAGTCTGTAATTTAGAATATTTTCAGCTGCTCAAGCACGCGCTTTTACTTTGAAAATTAGTGGTTATTGAGCGTTATTTGTACTCACTGTCAGAAGATGACTCACTTGACTTCTTGACTTTGCCTGACACCTGACAAACACCTACTCGTGCCAAGAGGATCAGGATCCTTTGACCTCAAGATTTTTAATTCCCCTTCATCTCCTCTTTACCTGTGTCCCTTTTCTTGTGCTACCATTTCTATTGGTGTGCGTCACGCATCAACCTCGTAACTCATTGGGCTCTTTCTCTCCTCTCTCTGTGTCTCTCCTTCTTTATGTGTGGTTCTTCCAATCCCTTGTCACCCGTCTGTTGTTTTCCAAACGCACCTTCGCTTTGCTTTGACCATTGCTTCTACATGTATGCACTCCATCTGGTTATTTCTGTTTTTCGCTGTTGATGTTTTTCCCTTCAAATCATGTCCTTCTCTGGTGATTTTTCTCTTTTATCCTCTTTCCATCCTTATCTCACTGCTATTCCTTTCTCCCACACTTTCACACCTCTTCAACGTGTATTTTTTCCCTTTACATGTCTGCCTTGATTGGACATCTCCTGTTGCAACTCCTCACATCCCTCCCATCTTTCATTGAATGGCCTCTCTCCTACGACCATTTCTCCCTGCTCCCACTCCTCTTTCCCCTCCCTTCTCTCTCTATCTCGCTAGGAGGACCAGCTTTCCTCCCTGGGTTCTGCAGACCCCGGTGTGAAAACTGAAGGTGGAGGGGGAGGTGGAGGAGGTGGAGCAGTAACCAACGATCAAGGCCTCAGAGTCTCTTCCTCGGGCATTTCCTCTGTCAGCTCGCCCCACAATGGAGTCCTCCCTCAAACCATAGATCCTCCCTCTCTACCCGCTCCTCATCAACATCCTAGTCAGAATGGAGAGCTCCGTGGCAGCCAAACATCTTCCCCAATGACAACCTCACAGACAACTGGAACTACAGCAGCAGCAACTACAGGCATAGCAGAAGAAGGGGGAGTAGGTCAAACACAGCACTGAGCCAAATCAGAGAGAGATGACCCAAAACGCCACCCCTGCCCTTTCCCCATTTAGCAAGACAGTTCTTTGAAAAGAAATCCCCTTTTATGTTCTTATTGCCCAGGCAAGAGAGAGAAGAAAAGCGAGCAGGAGACGAGTAGTAATCATACAGCTACTGTACAGTGCTTAACACATTAACACACAACACAAAGGGCTCTTCAATGGACATTTGTTCTCTTGATGCTCACATGGAGCTTCAGATAGTATCAGTCTTGCAGGACAAGACAACGATACCTTACGTACTTTGAATCTGTCAAACAAAGCATTAACATGCATACCAAGATATGTGAATATGTGCTCCGTGCACTCATCGCCTGTCTTTGATTCCACTAGAAACAAACATGTAAGGATCAAGAACTATAGAATGTCTTGCACCCCAAAGACTTCATAGTAGCCATTAGCAAAGAAGTGCTAGAAGCTAGAAGCTAGCTTACAGTAACCCTTGACTCCCATGGATGTAGATGCATTAATATATCCTGAACACGCCAGGCTACAGTTTGTTTTAGTAGGAATGTGGCAATGTGGTCTGGCTTTCATAGTGCCTTTGAGTGTTTTTCCAACAGGGTTTTACAATACAGTTAACAGACGGCGATCAAGTTGGCTTTGCAAGTAAGGGAAACAATATATGGGCCGAAAACAGAGATTCAAAGACACAAGATCAAGCATCATAGCGGTTTGAGTGATGAGAGACATTTCTGGGAACTTCTTTCTTCTTTTCAATCTAAGGGACGTCTTGTTTTTGGACTGAGCTCGTGCAGTTTTTCTCTTCTCAATCTCAGAACCGATTTGTGATAAACTGGTGCTAAACAGAAACAAATGGTGCCATTTTCCAAGTCAGCTGTCTGTGTCTGCCATAGCACTGCCTCTTTCATGGTTCACTCACTGTCTTTTCTCTCTCTCTCTTCTGCAGTTTGTCTTTGACAGGACTTTTTTTTCCCCTCCCGATATGTTCCGTGTGTGTCCGTCTTTGTTCTTCGTGCATCATGTTGTGTTATGCTTAAACGGGGGTGTTGGGGTTCCCATATCTGTTTTTGGTTTTTTTTGCACTCCTCCAATCTCTGATTTTAATCACATTTAATAAAAGCAGCTCCCAGGCTCAGAATTGATGGATCAACTATTGCACTTTTGCCTCCAAAGGCTATCTGTAGTTTACAACTAGCACTAGTAATTTTAATACTTTGAAAGACAGGGATGAATGAAGTGTATTCGGTGTTTGTTTGTTTTTCTTTCACTTAAATTATGTTGATTCTTTGTGTTTTTCTAGAAGATGATTATTTTGCTTGTTTCAGACACAGCTTTAATAATTTATCTTGCAATTTTCACCAAAACAAATAAATAGTAAAAACAGGTTCGTAGTTGTTTGGGCATACACTACATTTTACCCCATTTTTACTTTCAAATTTGCCAGTTACACACAAAGAGGATTTTGTTTCCTTACAAATATCTGTGAAAAGACCATTTCTAGGTTTGCTAAGCCTGCCGTTAAGTGCCTGGGATAGATGTATTGAGTATCCTTTGGCCAGTAGACTAGCTAGTCATCAACCAAATGCACCTTATAAAGCCTTGCTTAACACAATAAAATAAATTATATCCCTGATTCTACAAATTATTCTATATTATATTATCTTATATATTACTGTGTGTAGTTTGCTTAACTTGAGGTTTCTTTTTTTAAATGAAAAGAGACCTGTTGTTGAAAACAAAGCAAAAAATCAATAAATTTTAGAGAATTGTTTGATGTACTTTGCAAATGAACTCATGATTTGATTTCTCATGTGTCCAATGCTGAAAACACGTCTTTGAAATGTTTGCAACATGTATCCATATCCCTTCATTTTGTGTATGAACTGTCTGCTGTAAGGTTCGTCTCGATGTGAATTTGTTTTTGTCTTCGTAGCCTCACACGCCGGTGTCGCTCTGCAACAACTTGTTTTAAAGTTCAAGAAGTGTTTCACATCAGCCATTTTTCACTTTAGACAGACCACAACACTTTTGTTTTTGCCGTGTCAAAGGTCAAAAATGGCCTGCAGTGGTTAAGCTTAGATTAGACTTCTAATGATAGTGAATGTTGAACCACCAAATGTTTATAATGCTAGCAGTCTTATGCAGGGAAAGATTGTCTATTTAGGGCTACTTCTTTCTTGTGAATTTACTTGTGTGGTGAATGTTGGATTCAAAGCGGGCTAGGTTATGAACATCAGTGTCTTTTCTGAGACGTGATATGATCCGTGATTGAGAAATTAACATTGCTGTGAAAATACCTCAGTGACTCAGGTAAACAAGCAGTTGCCTCAGAGCTGAACACAAAAACTATAGAAAATAAAAAGAGACGAGTCCAGCTTTGGAAAGACTGCCACCATGCAGATACTCGGTCAATAGCTATGCTTTAATAGCACCTGATCAAGCACCCTCCCCCGTTTCTTCTCTCTCTCTGTCTCCCTTTTTTCTCCCCCAGCCACTCTCAAAGCTTCATCGAGGACAATGTGGAACCTAATTGGCTGATGCACCATCGGCAGTCTGCAGGGTGGCATGGCCAAATGTCCAGAGCCCTCTCTCGTGACGCGATTGGCTGACAAAGGGAGAACTTGGGGCACTGGTCCCATTCTCTTTGCTCAAAGGATGGTGCAGAGCCCCAGCGGACCATGTAAGGAAATGCTGGGTTTTTTTTGGCTTTTTTGTTTTCACTTTACTGGGCCCTCTCTCTCTGATTTGATAACAGGATTATTATTTTTTTTTAATATGTTTGATGCCTCATGGTTGGATCTACATTTGACTTACAAACAAAAGGTAGGCTGGACAGATATTGTTGTTGTCAGCCTGCCGAGCATGCAAAGAACAGCTATGCAGTCTGATCAATCAGCAGAACGGAGGAACACAAAAGCCAAGGAAGGCGCGATGCTCAAAGTGAGAGAGAGGGGTGGGTAAGATGTATTTCAAAGGTGCTTGACTTCTCTTAAAATTTTCAGTCCAAGCTGATTTGCTTTCATAGCATTTATTTGCCTCTCTCTCTCTATCTATCTCTCTTGTAGTCTTTTCAAATTACCCCTTGATTCCTCTTCATCTATTCACTCTTTATGCATCTAGGATTTTAAAAAACCATAATTTAACCACTTACTTCGTTCTAGACACACTCGATCTTTTTCTCTCCTCGTAGTTTTTAGCTCTTCCGTTTGAATCTCGTTCAGCGTTTCATTTTAAAGGAACCTAAATATGCACAGCCTAATTCATAACGTAAAACCGCTTCTAAACAATACTCTTGCTTCAGCGAAGACTTTGAAAAGCCGGACAGAATGTTATTATTTATATTTCTATGATGAAACTGCTTATTCTTACAATTAAAGAAAAAAACTCTTCGTTTAAAATCTTCCGGAGGAGATATTTATTTCTTGATATAGATAGATGCCTCTATCTAATGGAAGTTCATAAATAACCCGTTTTATATGAACCGAGTTTCTTACTGAGACAATCTTTTGGAAAGAAGAGTTGCCCCCAAAAGACTGCGGCGAAAGGGATGAACTCGTGTTTCACCTACTCCCCTTACGACAGTTTGCACGTTGCTGACACCCGATCCCTCCTTGCTCTTGGTTATTATTGTTCAAAAGCGAAATAAAGTGGACAGATGTCGCCATGGAGCTCTCCATATACGGACGATGTGAAAGTGATTGGATAAGGACATTCTTACAGCTATCGTTTTGTACTCCACTTCGACTACCTGTCTGTAGAGTTTTAACCAAGCAGAGGATGAACTCTTGGTTTCAGTGTGGCCACATTTCTGCAGTCAAATTGCTGTAAAACTCCCCGTTTTTCTTTCTATGGATGGACTCCACTGACACCAATCTGAGTTGAAATCCCTGCCATTTCCACTTTTGACTGAAACGAGAGAGAGACATGTTAGAGGTCCTGCTGAAACGAGTGAATGTGTTTGTATATAAGTGTGTGTACTGGCTCAATCTTTGTGTATATACTGGATACATGTGTATATATGGTATGTCTATGTGTATATACGGTTTGTTTGTATATGCAGAGTGTACAGCTATTTTTTCCTCTAATGTTTCTCTCTCTTTCTATGACTAGGTCTTCTCAAGTTACCAATATTGAGGCATGGAAAGGTTTTTACATGTACTGACAGCTATCAGAGGCACTTTCTGTGCAGACTTAGAATATCAGCAAGGTCTGTCACTTCTAGCTGCATTCTTGAAGCTCTCATACAAGAAGTAACTCACGTAATATTAAGCTTGCACTCATTTTCTGACCAACTAAAAAAGCTTTTCTAAGTAGATTTGGGTGACCAAGCAATGTTTGTACATATATAGACTTAGACCTTTTTTGCCCCCCAGAAACCTCCATTTGCATTTCTTTAAAAAATTCTCAACCTGTTTTGAGTTCTTGCGTATCTGGCGTTCACTTATATGTTTGCAGCGGTTGTCATTCAGAGCTATATATTTATTCAGACAACCCTTATATATTTCTTGAAATTTTGTTCCCCAAATTCTGCTTCTCATGGAACCGTCTAACCTTTTTGTGCGGCTAGACTGGCGAACCCTTCCATGAAAGTCTGCTGTCATTACTCACCATTGCTCGTTTTTGTATAGGTCCTTACTAAATAAGTGTGCCTCCTCCCCCTTATACTCTTACTAACCTTAGATCCGTTACCTCCGCTGATCGCTCATCTCCATTACCCTTTGACAAGCCATAGCCCCCACCCTCCCTGAAAGCTCCTCTATTGTTGTTTTGACAGGACAGACATTTGGGGATTTTCTGTATATTAATGGAAGAGTGGTGTTGAAGAGTGTATTGCAGTTGTATATGGATTTGTTATGAATGTGGATATTCTGATCATTGAATTATTATTGTAATAATGATAATAATTATTGCCTCTTTGATTTTGTTGATTAATTCCTTTGATGCAGTTGATGAAGATGCCATTGTTCCTTTTTTCCTTTCTCTCTCCTTTTTTTTTTTTTTTGGAATACACCGGAATTTATATTTTTCGGGTGGGTGATTCTGGAGATAGAAATACGTAAATAAATTAATAAATAAACAAATAATTAAATTCTTAACTTTGTGTGGAAATGTGTGTTCTACCTTTCTGGACCAACTCTGGATGATTTCAGAGAAAGTAGAAAACCTTTTTCTTTATTTGCATATCCAAAGTTTAATCAACCTTATTCC